AGGAGGGGAGGGAATAGGGGAAAAGGTATAGGGAATAAGAAATATATTGGTAGGTGCAAAATAGACATGTGGAGGTTAAGAATAGTATTGGAAATAGATAAGCCAAAGAACTTATATGTACAACGCATGGACATGAACTAAGTGGAGGGGAACGCTGGAGGGAAGGGGTACTGGGCAGAGGGGGATAAAGGGGAGAAAAAAATGGGACAACTGTAATAGCATAATCAATAAAATATACTTAAAAAAGAGACAGTGAAAAGACAACCCACAGAGTGGGAGAAAATACTTGCAAATCATATATCTGGTAAGAGATTTCTGATCAGAAGTCTTAACATTCAACAATAAAAAGATATATAACCCAGTCAAAAGCTGGGCAAGAACTTGAATAGACATTTCTCCAAAGAAGACCTACAAATGGTCAATAAGCACATGAAAGGATGCTCAACATGATCAGTCATCAGAGAAATAAAAATCACAATGAGATACCACTTCACCCCCATTTGCATTAGCTAAGATAAAAGGCTGTAACGAATGTTGGTGAGGATGTGGAGAAATCAGAACCCTCAAACATTGCGGGAGGCCATGGGAAATGGTGCCCGCTACTTTGGAAAAACAACCCGACAGCTCCTCAGAATGTTCAACATAAAGTTACCATATGAGCCAGCAATTCTACTCCTAGGCATATACCCAAGAGAAAGGAAAACATATTTTTACACAAAAGCTTGTATACAAATATCCATATCAGCATTGTGCACAACAGCCAAAGAAGTGGGAACAATACAAATGTCCATCAACTGATAAATGGATAAACATAATGTGGCATATACATGTAACAGAATATTATTTGGCAATAAAAGGAATGAAGTACTAATACATGCTAAAACATGAATGAACCTCAAAATGGTAAGTGAAAGAAGCCAGTCATAAAAGGCTTCTTTGTATGATGTTGTATGAGTCCATTTACATGGAATGTCCAGAATAGGCAAATCAACAGAAACAGAATGTAGACGAGTGGTTGCCAGGGACTGGGATCAGGGATGGGGAGTGACTGCAAATGGGCTCGGACGTTCCTTCCAGGGTAATGCAAATGTTCCGAAATCAGACAGTGGTGATGGTAACACAAGTCTGTGAATAAAATCAAAATCATACGATGGAATTATATGGTATGTCATTATATCTCAATTTTATAAAAGGGTGAATTTATCGCATGTGATTTATATCTTAATAAAGCTGTTATTTAAAACATTTTTTAAAATAGGAAAAAAGGATTAGGGTTTATGGGAAGAGAGAAGGAGAAGTGAGGAAGGGAATCAATGCTGAGCAGCAGAAGATCCTGGGCATCTGCAGAGAGAAGGTGAGGACGAGAAAAGAGAGGGACAGCAAAATCCCTTCGGCTGTGGGATTTTGTAGGGAGAGATACAGTGGATTTCCGGAAAGTTTTGCTCTGAGGTACATACGATAACTTTCCCTTCACTCTTCTTGTCTCTTCTGTTCCTTCACCAAGAAAACTTTGTGCTCAAATACATATGCCACAAAGATAACAGACAGTTGGAAACACTTTAAATTTCCCATAATAACCAATTTTAAAATGTACAGAACAGAGCATCATTAAAATACTGTTGTTAATATCATTATTGACTTGGGAAAATGTTCGCTAAATATTAAGTGAAAATAGAAGATTACAAACAGCACATACATTATGACACCATTTTTAAAAATAAATATGTCTATTTCTGTCTTAGTTCAGGCTGCTGTAACAAAGTACCTCAGACTGGGTGGCTTATAAAAGGCAGAAATTTATTTCACACAGTTTCGGATGTTGTAAAGTCCAAGATCAGGGTGCCAGCATGGTTGCATTCTGGGGAAAACCCTCTTGCTGGTGCATAGCTGGCACCTTCTTGCTGTGTCCCTACAGGGTGTACGGGGCAAGGGATCTCTCTGGAGCCTGCTTTCCAAGGGTATTAATCCCATTCATGAGGGTTATGCCCTTATGACCTAATCACCTCCCAAAGGTTCCCCTCTTTCTATCATTACCTTTGGGGGTTAGGATTTAACATAAGAATTTTGGGGGGCACAAATATTTCAACCGTAGTGGTATACATGGAAAAAAATTCAAAAGCATATACAACAAATGTTAACAGTGCTTTTCTCGAGTGGTTCTGGATTAGTTTAAATTTTATTCTTTTGTTTTATCTGTATGTGTTTTCTTAATGTATATATAATAAATAACATTATGTACATAATTAACAGTTTTATTCTTTAAACACCGCAGATACCATGGTTCAGGGGTTGGGGAGGGGCTTCCTCTTATAGTACCAGGTTTCCCCAGAATCCAGGCCGTAATCCAAGGTCTAGACTAAAAGAAGAACAGAAAACTTTCTTGTACATAAAGCAGTAATTTTGGAAGTACCTATGGGCTATAGCCATCACTGATCTTCAATGAATACTTTCCCCTCCTTTTAAAGCACCATTTTCAAGAGGCATTCACAAGTACATACACATAAGCATTTATCATTCTGACACACAAAACTATTACTGGATCATACATGCATTCAAATGGGAAAACATAGTGACACACAGAGTCTAGATAGAAAGCTCATCCCCTCAACCAGGGATAAAGAACAAATGGATGTGGAAGGTAGTGATGAACATGTGGCTGGAGGGCTCCGACAGCTGTATTATAATGTTACGCTTACCCATCTGTCCCCCAGATTAGAGTGCAGTTCCCTGAGGTCAAAACTGTGACATAGTCAGCTCTGTGTCTCTAGAACCTACACATAGTGCTTGGAACACAGTAAGTACTTGTTTATTTGCTGACTCCTATTTTACCCATTTAAAATATGACTTGTTTGTTTTTTTTTTTTAATTGAGTTTAGGAGCCCTGGCTCAGTGGCTCAGTTGGTTGGAGCGTCGTCTCATACACCAAAAGGTTGCAGGTTGATCCTCAGTCAGGGCATATACATAGGTTGTCAGTTCGATTCCTAGTCGGGGTACGTAGGGAGGTAACTGATGGATGTTCCTCTCTCACATCGATGTTTCTCTCTTTATCTCCCTCCCTTCCTCTCTCTCTAAAATCAATAAGCATATCCTCCAGTGAGGATTAAAAAAAAATTCAGTTTAGAAGTTTTTTATTTATTCTGGATATGTCTTTTGTCAGACATATGTCCTGAGAATATCTTTTCTCAGCCCATGGCTTTGCCCATTTGTTTTCTTAATGCTTTTATTATTTTTTTTAATTTTTAGGTTAAAGCTCTCTGTATCCTGCTTATCTAAGAAACCTTTGCCTATCCCAAGACCATAAAGAAAATTTCCTGTTTTTTTTTTTTCTAAAAGCTGTATAGTTTTAGCTTTTCATTTAGGTTGTATCAAATCCTATTTTAAGTATAAAGGTCTTTCACTGGTTGATTTTGTTTTATTTTATATTTTTGTACCTCAGGGGTCTTATTCTTTCCTGCTCTACACAAAGCCAAGGGAAATGCCTGCCAACCATTTCTCCACAGACAACTCTAGTTTAGCCAATTAAGATGTGAAGTTCTGTGGGCATCTCATGAGATTTTTGCATTCATGCCTTCCACCATCCTCAAACTTTCACATGTACATTTCTTATGCATGGCATCTCATTGATCCTCACCACTACTCACCAAAGTTGGCAGAGCCACTTTCGTTTTTAAAAATAAGGAAATTGACATTCGGAAAAATAAAATGACTTCCCCAAGATCACTCAGTGAATAAATGACAGAATTAAGATGGGATCTAGGAATCCTAACTTTTGGCTTTTTTTCTTTAAATTTTTTTTTTTTCTTTATTGATGTCAGAGTGAGGGGAAGGGAGGGAGAAAGAGAGGAAGAGAAACATCAATGTGAGAGAAAAACATTGATTGGTTGCTTCCTGCTGAAAGACCTGCAACCCAGGAATGTGTCCTGACTGGGAATCAAACCAGCAAACTTTTGGTCTCCAGGGGGATGCCCAACCAACTGAGCCACAGGGGCCAGGGCAAATTTAAGGAACTCCTATCTGCTCAGCAATATGGCAACTCTGGGCGGGAAAATGTTCCTAAATTCCAGAAGAAAGGTTTCCCGTCTTTGGTCATCAGGGTCTTTCTGCCAGTCGGTAGAACCTCTTTTCTTGGCCTCCTAAGGGAGGATGGGGGAGACAGTGGTAATCAGTGGCTGTTCTCCAGCAATCTGACCTTGTCCTGAGGTCCCAGGAGAAGTCTCAGTAGGACCGATAACTTTTTCACTGCAAGGGTCCTCTCTTGGGCAGGACTGGAGGGAAGAGAGCAGGAGGATGAATTTAGGAGCATCAGCTTATGCTTAGGTATCTTCCTGTTAGAAATCTAAGTCTCTGTAAGAGGACGGAGTATAACAGGTCAGGTGCCCTAGGCATTACAGAGCCTTCCTCCTCCTCCCTCCCCCCATCCTGTGGAGCTCTCTTGGTCAACCTTCTTTCTTACTCCATCCATTTTTACCTGGAGCCCCGTGGCTCCCATAGTGCCAGGAGAGGGTATGTGTGCCTATATGCATGTATGTATATGTGGAGGGAAAGGATGGGCTGGATGCTTCTCGGCCCATCCTCTTGAAAGCTGCACGGATCCCTGCTTGTTCTCCATCATAAACTTACAGTAGCTTTAGGGGTGTCTCCTCCCATTAAGCCTTTGTTTCTAGATTTGATCCTCTCTACCCTGACCCGCACTATAACAGCTTCATTAGAGATGCCCAGAAAGGATAGAGGGGCTCTTCTCCTTCTTGACAGAAAAGAAAGAAAATAATAAAATAAAATACAATAAAATAAATATATTTGTACATGGCATTAGCCGATCTGCTTTTACCCATCTCTGCACCAAATATATGCATGGACGAATTTGTTTAATGTTTGCTCGTATGCTCCCTCTCTATCTTTAGGAAAGACAAAGCCAACCCTCAGAAGCCAGCGTCCAAATGTGCTGATCGGTTATCCTGCCGTCCGTGCCCTGCCCCTCCCCCAGCTCCGCTGAGCCATACCTCGGTATGGGGCTTTGAGCTGAACCCGAAGGCTTCTGTTCCTTTTGCACTCCGACCGAGCTCAACCTTGACAGTTCCAGCTGAGGCACTGTTCCATGGGACCACACAGGGGGCACTGGGTCGATTTCCTAAGATCTGATTTCTGCTAATACAATGGCAACGTTGCTAATGCAAGGAGGCTGCGCAATCCCAGACCCAATATCCTTGCTGCTGCTGCCGCTGCTGCCGCTGGTGCTGCGGTGACGTTGCTGCTAAGGGAAGGGGGAAGGGAAAGGAGCAGGCATGCCCACAGTACAGCCGCTCAGCCTCCCTCCCTGTCAGTCCCCGAGGGCCTTCGCCTAGGGAGGGGAGAAAGGAGACAGGCTCCGAGGGCAGCCAGTGCTGGAAGATGAGAGCTCTCAAGGCAGCAAAGGAAGCCAGGGAGAGCACTGGGCTTAGCTCCTCTCTTGTCCTTAAGAGTCTCAGAAAAAAGTCTGGGCAGAGGCTTAGAGTTTCCTTCCTTCCTTAGGCCCCTCCTTTTAGATCTTAGCCAGAAACCTCTCCCTCCTCTTTTTGCCCACTCTGAATGACTTCTTGTTTTCCAGCTTTTCCCTTTCACTAGGATTCCAGACTGGCCTCTGGGTGGAGCCGCCAGACTGGGAAGGGGTTCCTGAGGCCCTCAAGGGAGGCGACAGGGACAGCTGTAACACCAAGTTCACTCTTTAAGGATGCCCACGTCGACTTCGCACTAGGTTTCCAGGGTGTGCCTCTTGGGAGGAATGGGTCTGTCTCAGGAAAAGAGAGACTGTGCCATAGGTAGGCTTCTCTACACAGGGTGATGGTGAACCTTAGGACCAAGTTGGCTACAGGCCCCCTTCCTAACACAGGGTCCAGCTCAGATCACTGGATCTTCAGAGAGTCTGCTAATGTGGAATAGAATCTTCCCCTCTCACCTACGTCAGTTTTTTTTTTTTTAATTTTAAAAATATTTCATTTATTTGTTTTAGACAGAAGGGAAGGGAGGGAAAAAGAGAGGGAGAGAAACACCAATGTGTGGGTGCCCCTCATGCACCCCACACTGGGGACCTGATCTGGCCTGCAACCCAGGCACGCGCCCTGACTGGAAATCAAACCGGCGACCCCTTGACTCACAGGCTGGCACTCAATCCACTGAGCCACACCAGCCAGGGCTATTTACTGTTTGTTTTTGTTGTTGTTTTTAGAGAGAGAGGAAGAGAGGGAGAAAGAGAGGAAGAGAAGCATTGGCTGCCTCTCATATGCCCCCGGCTGGGGCCCTGGCCTGCAATCCAGGCATGTGCCCTGATGAGGAATCGAACTGGCAACCTTTCAGTTCACGGGCCAGTGCTCAAGCCACTAAGCCACTCCAGTCAGGACTCTGCATCAGTTTTTGGATAGTGACGAGTAGGATCCAGCTGGGTCTGTGAGGGGGTGGGGGGGTGGGAGGCAAAATCCATTTGGGCAGTCTCTGGGGATGAGAAGGCTGTTTTCTACAGAAAGGAAGGCTAGGCAAGGAAAAAAAAAATTCTGTTCTGCTTGTAGACCTACAGAACCCTCTACCCCGTCCCTGCTTCACCCTCTTCAGGTTCTGGGCCAGTTTTGTGGGAATCAGTAAACAGTAGAGAAGCCACAGCCAGAGCCAATTGTACAGTAAGTAGCAGCATGTTTCTGTCCACTTTATGCCACTGCCCACTACCCTTGAACACAGAGATGGTCTCACGTTGGGCATGGCCCCTAAGCACTAGCCTTGTCTGGGCTCCTCCCAGTGTTGACTACTATCTGGGCTCCAAAGGTAAGCCCTTGGATTTCAAGTCCCTAGAAAGAAGGCTTGGATCCACTGGCCAGGAACATAGCAGCCACCACCACACAGGATCCAGAAGAAATAGTTTCTTTCTTCTTATTGTTTCATCTATTCCCTATTAGACTCACATGCCCACTGATGCTATACTGAGATGAGCTGAATTGTAGAGAGAACAGAAGTGGCTAAAATGCCAAAACCTATCTTCAGCCTTGACTTATTTGAGGGGCATCCTACAAAAACAGGAAACAATGAGGAAGGGAAGGAGAGGGAGGCTGCTGATCATAAAACTAACCATTAGTGATCCTCGCAGGGAAAGTAAAAGGAGCAGAAATGGTGTCACTGTAGTTCTTTCTCCCCTAGCTCATACAGACCTCAAAGGGGTTTGGATAAGCAGTTGTAGATTAGGGCAAAGTCAATGTCCACGACAAAGTGGTTGGAGTTCTAGCTTCTTATTTTAAGAACTCTGGGCCCAGGGTCTTTGTCCCTGAAATTTCTGTGAGGCTAAGCCATGCATTGCACTGGAGAGCCACTACTTACGAAATGTTTCCTGTTTCTTATATGGCAGGTGGTAGCTCTCATGTTTCCAGTGCTTGGCTTACTTCACTACATGATAGACCACATTGTCACCTACTTTCCAGCCACTACTGCCCAAGATCTATAGGGTTTCTGATGAAAGATCAAATTATTTTTTGGCTAGAAACCAAACATAAATACTGTCCCATTATAAACCTCGACTACCTCTTAACTAGTCTTCTCACCTGCAATTTACCTCCTAGTACTGCCAGATCCGTCTCCCTGAACCACCTTCTTTCTTCAATGCCACTCCTCCTGCCCTTTTCATTGGTCCTCCCATAACCCAGAGAATCAAGATCAAACTCCTCATTTTGGCTTTCAAGGTCCTCTGTCTCAGTTCTCTATTCCCCCTCTACCCAAACTTACTTCCCACACTCCGTCATGCAGTCCTTCAAACCTGCTTCATAAGCTCATTTCCACTCTGCTGCCTTTGTTCAGATTCTCCTGCCTGTTATACTTGGCTACAGTCAGAATTATCCAAAGCTACAAGGCCCAGATAAACTCCTCCATCAAATCTTCACTGATCACCCCAGAACCAGAAATGATTTCTCTATCTTGTGAACCCAAGGCTGCAGGTTGTTGATTTTACAAAGAAAAAAATCCCACAAAATCCAGGGGATCAATATAGAATTGCCAATTTCTTATATTGCCAAGTAGCATCATTTAAAAAAAAAACAAACACCTTACATCATCTGTCATCATTTCATAAAAGAAAGCATACTGTCATTTTTCTCATTTCATCGCATTCTGACACAAACCTCATCAGAAACTAACATCAGTCCACGATAGGTTTAAGGATTAAGTAAATCATTTCTCATTTGACATGGTTATTGCTCTTTCTTTTTGCATATCTGACTTAATGTCTCTTCTAGACTGCTCATTCCAAGTTACATTCATCTTTGTGTCCCCAACATTCAGTACACAGCTCAGTATAATTTTCATTTCATGTTTCCCATAAAACCAAGCACAGTGCTTGGCATATACAGGTGGTTCAGTCAGTCTTGTTCAATAAGAGCAGTCCGAAAAGAGATGTTCCGTGAGTATAAATGAGTGAGTGGTTGGCAGATCTGACACAAAGGCTTGGAAGAGAAGACCATTGCTGTTCATGTTAAAAAAAAAAAAAAAAGGTCTATTAAAAGAAAGTTTAGGGGAAAAAAAGAATAACTCTTCATGACCTTGAGTTAGGCAATGCATCTTTAGACATGATACCAAAAGTACAAGTGACAAAATAAAAAATAGGTAAGGTGAACTTCAAAAAAATTGAAAAGTTTTGCGCTTCAAAAGACACAATGAAGATAGTGAAAAGATAACTCACAGAACGGAAGAAAATTTTTGCAAATCACATATCTGATAAGGGACTTCTGACTAGAATATATAAAAAATGCTTACAACTCAACAAAAAGACATAAGATCCAGTTAAAATACAGGCAAAGGATTTTTAATAGGCATTTCTCCAAAGAAGACATACAAATGGTCAAGAGCACATGAAAAGAATCTCAACATCATTAGTTACTAGGGAAGTGCAAATCAAAACTAAAATGAGATACCACTTTACCTTACTAGACTGGCTAAAATAAAAAAGACAGGCAATAACAAGTGTTGATGATGATGCAGTGTAATTGGAACCCTCATACATTGCTGGGAGGATTCTGAAATGGTGCAACCACTTTGTCTTTTATCTTAGCCATCTCTGGTGTGCCAGTCCAGGGACCTCAGACAATTCCCCCTTTCATTTGTTTTCTTCCAACACCAAAATCCTTAAAAGAATAAACTATGTTAACTCTTCTCTTTCCTTAACCATTTCTTAAGCACCAGAAGCCTGTCTTCTTGTAATACTTGAACTGTCTGAAGCAGTTATAATTCTTGAACTTATAATATTTAAATTGACACTTAGCCATCCTCTCCTACTGAAACCTTTTTTTCCCCTTTGGCTCTGCCAATACCAAGCCTCCTAGTTCTACTTCTAGTTCTTTCTTCATTGTTTAATAAAACAATACCTGGCCCATATTTAAATGTAGATTTACAACAAGGCTCAGAACTGAGTCTTCAAGCAGAGAATTGTTGACGCTGTTGCTTTCCAAATCTTAAATTCTTCCTGAACTTCCGGATGAAATCTCCAATAGCCTATTAGATACTTCCTACTATTACCTCAAATCCAACACATCTTAAAGCAAAATTGATTTTTCTATTTGAAATCAGCTTTCTTTAGATTACTAGTAACACATGCCTGAATATGTTACGAGTCATCTGGAGTCTTCATATTCAGACAATCACCAAATCATGCTGAATCTTCCTTCCAATGTTTTAGAAATTGATCTAATAATTTATTGTGCTTTTCTATATTCCAGCTATTAGGCTAAGCACTTACTTACATTATCTCATATAATCCATATATAGCCACTCTCCAAGCTAAGTTATTATTATCTCTATTTTTCGGATGAGAAATCTGAGGCTCAGTGATATTAAATAATCTTCCTAAGGTAACTTAGCCAGCAAATGTTTGATCTAGGATTCAGATACAGATCTGTCTGATTCCAAAGTCAGTGTTCTTAACCTTTGTAATATCACCTTTCAAGTTTCCATCACTAATATCTATCATCCTAAATCAGACCTATATTGCCTTTCCTCTGAATTGTTATATAGTCTTCTAACTAGTTTTCTTGCTTTCATTCTGTTTCTCTCCTCCCAGCTATCCTATCTACTGATACAATCTTTATCTTCCCAAATACAGCCTTCAATACATCATCTGATTACTAAAAGCTTACAGTGGCTCCCAGTTGCCTACAGGACAATCCAAATTCCTTAATGAGGTGCTCAAAGTTCCTTCCTACTTATCCAACCATGTTCCATTGCCAAATTTATTTCTTTTTTTAAAGTTTATTTTTTATTGTCTTTTTTCCATTGCCATTCCTTCCCCTTATGCTCTCTTCCACCTTTACCGACTCCTCTCCCTCTGACAATCACCACACTGTTGTCTATGTCCGTAAGTTCTTTCTCTTTCTTTATCAAATTTATTTCAAATTCTGTTATTGTGGAAGTCTTTCTTCTTCTTTTTTTTTAGATTTTATTTACTTAGTTTTAGACGGAGGGGAAAGGAGGGAGAAAGGGAGGCAGAGAAACATGAATATGTGGTTGCCTCTCACGTGTCCCCCACCAGGGACCTGGTCCGCAACCCAGGCATGTGCCCTGACTGGGAATTGAACCAGTGACCTTTCGGTTCACAGGCTGGCGCTCAATCACCACTGAGCCACACCAGCCAGGGTGGAAGTCTTTCTTCTGAACTTCTTCAAGTCCAATGGTCTATATAGCTCATTTGGTACCAAGCCTTGGCCATTTTATTTTGTTATTTAGCTCCTGAAGACAGCACACTCTTGGAGTGTGAGACTGTGTCTCATATTTTGATAAGTAATTCTGAGCATAGGACCTTGGCACTTAGTAGGGCGACACC